ACACACACACACACACACACACACACACACACACATAAGCGTAGTCTTCAAGACACAGAGGCTTGGCCACTCCCTCCCTCTGAAGTCCCCTTCTCTTTGGTTTCTGGTTGTCCTCCACCCTCCCTGGCCTCCCGGCTCATGCTGCATCTCCTCTACCCCTCTCTTACGCAAGCACTAGTGTTTCCAGTAAGTCTCTGCCCTGGCCGCCCACACCAACAGCTGCATTCCTCACCTGAGCACTGAAAATCCCCAAACCTGCAGGCATGTCCAGCCTGGACCCCTAGAGTGTTCCACCAACCTGCCTACACCACCCCCTGCTGCAGCTCCCATCACCAACAAGCTGCCCGAGATCCTACTCCTCAGCCATCCCTCCTCCAGCCTTAGGACTGAGTTCCAGACCCATGAGTCCCCCAGATGTTGCTGTGGGGATGTCAACAGTCCACAGGATCCTCTAATGCTAGGAGTCTAAAGCCATGAAAGGCTCCATCACTCCATAGTTATTCACCCAGGAAACCCTGCAGAGGCCACCCACTGATCCCCTCAAGAAATGTGAATGGAGGGCTCACCAGGCACCAGGGTCCAGGTGCAGGAGGAGGTGGAGAGTAAACAGAGCAGAACTGGATCTTGCCTCCAGGGGACTATCATTCAGTCACCCAGTTCTTTCAAGTCTACCTGCCACCCTCCTCTGAAACACTTGACTTTTCTCCACCCCCATGGTCACTGCCCGAGTCCAGGACAGTATGCCACAGGGGCAAGAAAGCAGTACCACAGGAATGCCAGCTCTGAAATGTGCGCTGAGGGGCCTTGGGAAGACACTTTCTCTGTTTTCTCAGCTGACAGATAAAGATAATAGCAATGCCAACCTCACAGCCTTGTTGCAAGATTAAATGAGACACGAAGCCTTTAGAGCACTGTCCAGAACACAGCCAACAATCTCTAAACACCTGCAACTATTGCAATCCCTGCCAATCCAGCCTCCCGGTATGGCCCACTCCAAAGCACCCACCCCTCCCGTCCCCACGAGCCACTCCCTGTCTCCAGCCCTTTCTGACTGACTCGCCCCTAAACGTCTTTTCTCCATCTCATTTCCCAAGCCTCAATTTAAGGCCAGTGCCCCTCTCTTGTGCTCCCTCCTCTAGAAGACCCCAGCCTCATCCCTATGAACCAGGACCACTTCTCTCCTTGAGCTTCCCTACTCCTTGGAGAGCACTGTGCTCGCCTCTGTATGCCCAGGCCTTAGAATCATTTTGTCCACAACAGGGGGCTGGAGAAACACTTCATAACAAACAAGAAAAACATAAGAATTGCCAAGAGGCAAATTTCAAGTCACTATATCAACAACAGAAAAGCACTTCCTAATAGTTGAGCCACACTTATTAAGCATGTACTGTGTGCCAGTTTCTGAGTTAAGCTTTGGACACATGTAATCCAATGATCATGTCAGATGTGGGTATTTGTATTCCTGTTTCACAGGTAAAGGGACGGAAGCTGAGGAAATCCTTAAAACTTGCTCAGAGTCACGCAGCTAGGAGGTGGTGCCGTCAGAATTTGAACCCAGCATTATTAGACTTCAGAACCCATTTCTCACCCAGCATTAGCCCAGCTCAGATTGCAGTCCACCAGGAGTGGCCTCTTGGGTCCACAAGAGCACCCTCCTCTGCTGGGCCATTAGGTGGGGCTTTCTTTAGAAGTAGAACTAAATTCTCTGAAGGTCCTTCCTTCCAAGACTCTAGGATTCTAGGATTTTAAATCATTAGCTCCTGGGTGGTTCATCTTGGCTTCCTCTGAGGCTGAGCTCAGAGTAGGCAAACAAGAAACCCATGTTGAAGCCGGGCATGCATGGTGGCACACGCCTGTCATCCCCACAGCTCAGGAGGCTGAGGCAGGAGGATCGAGAGTTCAAAGCCAGCCTCAGCAAAAGCAGGGTGCTAAGCAACTCAGTGAGACCCTGTCTCTAAATGAAATACAAAATAGGGCTCAGTGGTTGAGTGCCCCTGAGTTCAATCCCTGACACCAAAAACAGAAACCCATGTTGAATGAATGAACCAATGAGTGAACGGGGGAGTGGATGACGGATGATGAATGAATCTGTGGATGAACAGAGAAATGAGGGAAGGGAAAGAATGCACGGCAACGTGTTCTGCACATGTCCACATGGGCTTTAACCTCAGCCCCTGTCAGTGGACCCCAAGGAATGCAGAGAAGGGGAAAAACCAGGCGGCGACACAGCACCCTCAAGCCAGCGCCCCAGAGGCGCTGAGCGCTCCTACCGGCACAGGTGGTCCGTCCGGCACAGGCTGCGGAGGTCCAGGCAGTTGGGCTTCTCCTTGTCCTCGTAGGAGCAGCTGGGCAGGATGGTTTGCCGGCGGCGCTCGGCACACGCCTGGTCTTGGCAGGAGCAGAAGAGCATGCGGTAGGTGTACTCGCTGGGCACCCGGTCGAAGAACTGGCGCAGGGCCTTGTGGCACTTGCGGCGGTTGCAGCGCTCGGTGGGTGAGATCTCGCGGTTGCAGATGGAGATGTAGGAGGAGCGCAGCTTCTTGCAGTTGTCGTTCAGGTTGCAGGCCTTGGCAGCGTCCAGGCAATGGTTGCTCTTGGCGCTGACCGCCGGGTCTGCCCCCGTCCCTGGAGGGGAAAGCACAGCACAGGTCAGAGGCCCCGAGATCAGCATGGCTTCCCAAGCCCCCTCTGCCTCAGTTTCCTGTGAAACCTCCTGAGGTCGTGGTGAGAATTGAAGGCGTTAATATCACATCCAGAAATGACTCAGGACAGTGCTGGGCACAGGGCGTGCTGGGCAGCTATTAGGATGACTTAGTCCAAAGTCCCATCTCGTGCATAAAAGGCAAGCAAAATGAAGTGTGCATGGCCATGTTCACCAACGCAGGAATCAGGGTGAGTGGCTCAAGGTCACACAACTAAGGGGACCCTGACCGCCCTCGGCAGCACACCTGAGCAGTGCCTCAGGGAAAGGGCACCACTTAGAGGGGCACAGTGCTGGTTAAGGGTCTTCAGCAGCCAGGGCACAAGCAGCCTCCCAACCCCACCAACTGTGACCACAGAAACTGCCCCTAGACATTCAAATGCTCCCTCTTATCCAGGGAAATGTGGCTGCTACTGCCACCTAAAAAGGAAGCCCTGAGCTGGGAGTCCTGCAGATGTGAGGAGCTCGTGCACCACCAGCCACGGGGCAGGTGTGCTGGACTCCACCTCAGCATAATGACCTCTGAGATTTGTGCCACTGCCCAAATGTCTTGGCACAAAGCAGGAATCGCTATGCTGCCTCTGCGGTCCTGCCCCTCCTTACAAGGCTCAGTTGTTCCGAGGAGGCTCATGGCTCAGGACCACCAGACCCTTTCCCACCAACCAGTTGCCTCCTACAGACCACCTCCCATCTGGCCTGTGGACAGGCAGACGGAGAGGGTGGGACTCAAGACAGCACATGCCCTCCCGAGAGCCAGGGCACAGATCCTCCATCCCAACCTCTTTATCTTATAGACAAGGAAACTGAAGCCCTGATGGGCAAGGGGCCATCAGGTCACGCAGCACACGAGCAGCAAGACAGAGAGGGAACTCGATCACCACCTTCACCAGGAAGAGCCGCTGGCTTAGGGCTGCAGATTAGCACCCATGTATGGTCCAGCAATGGCCAAAGGAGGCTGAGCATTTGCAGCAGACAGTCTCGTGTCAGCTGCTTGGTCATTCCCACTGAGTGCTGTGTGGCCCAGGCTCACCCGTCCAACTCCTCCCGACAACTCTGCCTGAAAGCCCAACACCCACACCTCAAACCCAGACCCCCAAGGCTACCCCTACCCTGACAGTCTCCCTCATCCTGCTGGGAACAGCTGCACCCTCCAGTAGCCAGGGCCAAAGCTCTTGACTCGCCCTGGACTCTTATTCACACACACCAGAAAACCCAGAGGCCCAGCTGCAAGTGTCCAGCGTCCTCCCCTTAACCCACCACTACTGTGACCACAGTCCAAGCTGCCATCACTCTGTGCCTGCAAAAGCCTCCTGCAGGTCCCCTCTCTGCCCTCTGCCCCACCCAGAATAGCCTTCTCTCATCACAGCAGCTGGAAATGACAACCTTCCGGAACCTACAGCAGACAGGTATTATTCCTGGGGCTCCGAGCCTCCGATGGCTTCCCCATCTCAGACCTCAGCATGACCTGTGAGATTCCATACTTGTGCTGTCCACAAGCACAAGCCACAGAGGGCACTGAACTTGAAATGTAGCTGGCACATTTTGAATGTGTACACAAGATTTCAAAATACGAAATTATGAAAAATTAATAAGGAAAAAAGTATCTCACTATTTTTTTTTTTGAGAGAGAGAGAGAGAGAGAGAATATTTTTTTTTATATGGTGCTGAGAATCGAACCTGGGTCTTGCTCGTGTAGGCAAGCACCCTACCGCTGAGCCACAATCCCAGCCCTTTTTCTTTTTTTACTTTTGATTACACATTGGAGGGATATATGTTTTGGAGATATGTTAGACAAACGTGGTATTAAAGTTAATCTTGCCCATCTCCCTTCACTTTTTAACCTGGTACTGAACACTCAGAATTCCTTGTCCGCAATGCATATTAGATCTCTTCACCTGCACTGCTTTATGGAACCTGGCCTCCTACTCCCTTCACCCAGCTCAACACTGGCTTCTGTGATCTTCCTAGAACATGTCACTGTGTCCTGGCCTCAGGGCCTTTGCATTTGCTGTTCCCCAGATCTGGAAGGTTCTTCCCTCCTCCCTGTGACCACACAGCAATTTCCCCCATTTGGCTCAGGTGTCTGCTCAAATGTTACCTCATGGGGGAGTCTTCCTTGACCACACTGCACGTGAAAACCACCCCACGCTGCATTCGCTCCCACTCGGATCTATCTTCCCATGGCACTCAGCACCACCTGCCGCAGTACATACTCACTCATTTGCTTGTCTGAATCAAATGCAAGCTCCATGAAGGCAGGAGCTGGGTGGGCATGCTGTGCTCGTACACCATGTGTCCGACACAGGGGTGCTGATCAAGTATTCAATCAGCAAAAGGATAAATGTACTTAGAACAATGTCTACTTTATAGCAAGTACTCAAAAAAATAGAAGTTTCCAATAGCATTAAGGAAGCAAAACTGACTCAGAGCAGGCAACAGCGGTCACTACAAGACCCTGTGTGATCAAGTATTAACGTGGGGCCAGAAGCGGCTCAGAAGTGAAAGCTGGGGGATGATTGATGGAAGGAGACTGAGTCACTCTCCCCAACACCTGGCTGGCCAGCAGCCCTACAAAGACAGGAAAGGAAAAGTCCCTCTACCTTGTTGGAAAAATAAAGGGGGCAGTGGTGCATCCAGACAATAGAACATTATTCAGTGATAAAAGGAAATGAGCTACCAAGCCATGAAAAGACATGGAGGCGGCTCACAGGCAATAAGCCAAACATGTGATTCCAAATATATGACATTTTGGAAAAGGGAACACACCAGAGTCAGAAAAAAAAAAAAAAGAAAAGTGGTCATTAGGACTCAGGGGAAAGAAGAAGAGGATGAACATGTGAAGAACACAGGCTTTTTTGTTTTTTGTTTTGGGGAGCTTTTTGGCATCAAGGATTGAACTCTGGGGTGCTTGCCCACTGGGCCATACCCCCAGCCGTTTTTTATATTTTATTTAGAGACAAGTTCTCGCTGAGTTGCTAAGGGCCTTGCTAAGTTGCTGAGGCTGGCTTTGAACCTGTGATCCTCCTGCCCCAGCCCAGCAGCACAGAGCATTTTTAAGGCAATAAAACAACACTGTAATGGTGGGTACATGTCATTGTGCATTTGTCCCAAGCCATGGGACGGACACCACCAAGCGTGAACCCAATGTCAGCTATGGGCTGCTGGTGGTAACGGCGTGGGGCCGTAGGGTCATCAGCTCTAACAGACACCCTGGGGATGTGGATCATGGAGAGGCTGTGTGCACTTAGGGGCAGGAAGCAAATGGGAACTCTCTTTACCCGCTCTCAATTTTGCTAAGAACCAAAAACACTCCAAAAAAGAGTTGAGGGAAATTCAGACCAAAAAGGAGTCAATGATTGTTTTCTTAATTCTAAAATCATATATCTTTATTGAAGACTTACTATGTGCTAGACACGGCCACAGCCAGGGGGCCTGAAACCCTGCACGAAATCCAGCTGGGGACAGAGGAGCAGCTGGAGCCAATACTAATGCTAAGCTGTGCGTTGAAGAAGTCGGGGTACAGGGCAGAAAGCACCCACCTGGATCTGGGGAGTGGTGGACAGAGCAATGCTTCTGCTCAGAAAGAGTCAGAGAGCAGGAAGGGCCCTGGCAGAGGGGACCCAGGGGCAGAGGCTGGGAGGAGCAGAAAGCATTCATTATGCCTGGCAACGGAAGCCCAGAGGGAAACGACAAGAGGCAATGCTGGAGAGCCGGGCAAGAGACTCATGGCCACACTGGGGCATTTGGCCTCCCCAGCAATACCCTGAGCTGCCATCAAACCATTCCGCGTCGCCAGGCAAGGACCCAAGGACGCCTGTCAACACCAAGCCCTCTGTGCAGGGTTCTCCCAGACCAGCGGCTCCATGCACCTGTCACATGCCGGCTGGCGGTGGGGAGGGAAGAGCACAGAGGCCTGGGGCCGAGGTGGAGGAAAGACAAGGAGGGACTCCGCGGAGGATCAGGCGACAACCGCAAGCAGAACAGCAGCTAATTTAGGCCTGTGGCTGCTTCTGGGCTCCCCAGGTGCTCTGTTCCCGCTCCTCTCAGCATGTTCCTGAGCTAATGCCAGTGTAATTATAGCCTCAGTGGCTTCCATTTGGAGCCTGAATAGTGAAAGCATTTGCTAGGGGGGTGGGAAATGTAAACCCCTGGGCCCGAACTTGGTAAATTTCCTAGAAAAAAAAGAAAGAAAGAAAGAAAGAAATGTGGCAACACCGACAGCTACCAGGAAAGATGGCCCTCTGCTCCTGCAGGTAAGAACCCCAGGATGGGGCCGTGCTGCACCATGGAGAAAGACCCCACCTCCGCCAGCTTCTCTCCAAGCAAGACGCCCATCCAGCTTCGCCAGGAGCCTGTCAGTCAGGACAGGGCTCAGCACGCACAGGTGCACACACACCGTGGAGAGCTCGTCCACAGCACAGCCTCCCCCGCTCCCCAGCCCACCCACTGCCTTTCCACCCACCCGAAGGCTCCTGGCCCTCACTGGGCAGAAAGGAGTGGGAGATCCCAAGCCAGCTCACCCTCCAGGACCCCTGCTGCGCCTCAGCCAGCTGCTTCAGACTCAGCTCGAAGCCAAAAGGTGCTGAGGGCAGGGATGAGGATGCCAGAACCTTAGGCCTCTCTCGTTCCCCACCCCTTCCCACTGCAGAGAACTGAGGGACTTGGGAGCTGGAAATACACGCCAGGCCTGGCTGACCTAGGACAGCCTGTCCCCGGCACATGTGCCACTTGGCCCTGGTGGGTCACCCAGGCCTGCAGAGAAGAGCAGAGATGGGCCAAGTTCTAAATGGCAACAGCTGCCCAAGAGAGGGGACATGGGATTTAATGACCCTTGGCACTTTCCAAACCTCAGCAAATTCATCCTACCAGCCGCAGCCCCTAGGACATGTCCTAGCTTCTTTATCCCCTTCTTTTCTCATCCCTC